TAAAAGTTAAAACTAAATCTCAGATGAGATTACATTGAAAATGAGGAAAAAGTGAGTTAGAAGGAGAAAAACTCTCTGTCACATCCACAAAAGTGATTTTATTTCATTGGGGAAAGGAAACAAGGCAAAAGAAATATATGAGAAAAAAAAAAAAATTAAACTCTCTGTCACATCCACAAAAGTGATTTTATTTCATTGGGGAAAGGAAACAAGGCAAAAGAAATATATGAGAAAACAAAAAAAATGGAAATAAAGTTTTTGTAAATAGGGAAGGGAGGAGGGGGTGAAGGGAGGGCAGAGGTATGGGGGAAAATGAGAACCAAGACCTGTCATGTAAAGGTACAAGTTCCCAGTGATGAGTGTAACTGCACTGTATACCTAAACTGTACCAATAAACTCAATGAGAAAAAATAGAAAATTTCTAAATAATGTGCACAGATGCTGAAATGGAATGCCAAATAAAAGCTATGTCTTAAATGATCCATAAATTATATATCATTAATATTAGTAATAGGACTTTTCAGATATTTAAGTTTTCTAATGGTAAACATCTATAGAGTATTATACTCAGGATATTATGCATTGCTTTACTGTTAATCTGATTCAAAATAATTATTCATGGGGGATTCTTAACCCAGTTCTCTCCTGGAAATGTAATTCAGAGGTGTGACTAAAAAGGTTTGGTGGTCTCCATCAAAACATTTTTGGTAAAAAAGATAAGTGGATTTAGCTTTCTTTGATTATTTCTGTAAAATAGTCACGGAAATAATGGTAGATGTAAGTTTTGAAGCCTGTCAATTGGTGGAATTGATTGAAAAGTAAAGGAAGATGGTTTTTAAAGTCTTCTATTGAGACACGTTGTGTGATGACAACATTCATATGTTTCACCTGATCCTCTACTTAGCACAAGAGATATATATTAAAATCTAGGGTAAACGTCTTTGCCAGATTATGAAGATTTTTTTCCCTAAAAATGAAAATATTCTGAAAAGTTTCAAGTGTTTCAAGTACCCTTGCAAGTGTTTCAAGCACCCTTGCAAGTGTTTCAAGCAAGAAAAGAGATTGAAGGAAAGGCGCATAAAAAAATAGTGCATAGGGCTGGGGATTTAGTTCAGTGGTTCCACCGCCTTCCTTGCCACGTTCGATCCCCAGTACCAAACAAAACAAAACAAAACAAAACAAAACAAAAAAACATAAAATGAACAAGGTTATTTAGCCTATATTTCAGGTATTTACAAAGATATAAAGTTGGCTCTCTATATCTACTTCTGAGGATCAACGAACCATTCATTGATTGAAAATATTATGGAAAAAATTGCACCCATACCAGACATATACATACTAATTTTCTATTGCTTTTCTCCAAAAATATAAATAAAACTTTTCATATAGCATTCACATTGTATTTTATATAATCTAAAAATACTTAAAAATACACAGGAGGGTGTGTGGAGATGATATGTAAATAATTCTGCACTACATATGGGGGGGTTTGAGCATCTGTAGGTTTTGTCATCCATTGGGGTTGAGGTTGGAGTTACAGCTCTAATCCCTGTAGATGCTGAAGACTGGTTACACTATGTAATAGTCACTAAATTAGACTATCAGACAATCTTACAGTGACAGACAAAAGAGAATTGGAGAAAAAAGTGTGGCTGAGTGTCTTCCTCAAGATCATATTATAGCCTGGATTCAAGGTTGAATTTGTATTATTTAACTGAAAAAAAGAATGTGTCTTCATTATTTCTTAAGTGAACTGCAAGACATCTGTACAGAAAATAAAATAAAGTTTAATTTGTATATATTTTAATGGATATCTCAGGTTCTCTCCAGTTTCCTCTTTTACCATTGATTTAAATGATCATGTAGGGTCCCCCTTATCGAGTAAAGATAGAATCATTTATATTCAGAGTGCTTTTACTTCAGACTGAAGACTTCACAGGACCTCTTGTCAATGCCTGGATTTACATTTTTTAGTAATACCTACAAGTTTATAATAATCAAAGCAAAAAAATTATAGTACAAATTATATTTATAACGGGAAGTAGTGATATTTGAGATGTCTAATCTTGAGTTTTCTAGCTTTTCCTTTTGGATCTCCTCTATTTCACAGAACTCTATGACATTCACTTTAAAATATGCATCTCTAGGGCCAGAGATTTAGCTCAGTGGTTGGGTGGCCTGCCTTATAAGTGCAAGGACCCAAGTTCAATCGCCGGTACCCTCCCCCCCAAAAAAACATCTCTGATATCAGGATCTTTACTAATTTTTTGCACTTTTTGACATAAAAATAGCTTTACATTTTTATATTTCAAGGTGAAACATGCACATCATAAAAATAAACAAAGGAATTATATATCATTACATTTAAAGTCACTGCGATATTCTGCAGTATATCAATTCTATCATATACTTAGGCAATCTCAGAAAAACATGTATTGAATTTGCTTATAGTTTCCTTTCTATGTGTAGTTCTATAGTCAACCTATATAGACATGCCTTTTTAGACTTTTTTATATTGTTTTCTTATAAATTTGTAGAAGCTGAATTACTATTCTTAGATATTCTGCTGCAAATGATCATGCAATAACTACAAACATATTTGCTAGGCATTTTTCTAGGTGCTGAGTAATGAGTATAAATAAGATAATAATTTTCTTACTCATATTAAGCTTACATTTAGTTGACAGATTTAAACCATACACAAATATTCATAAAATAAAATATTAGGAAGTTTAGTGTGAAGAAAATAAAATAGGGTTGCATGATAGTGGGTGGCTGAGGGACACCTTTAGATTAGGCGCTCTGGTAAGGCTTCTATGAAGATGAAATTTAAATCCAGCAGTTAAATTATAAGAGGGAGCCAGCAATATGAGACCTGGGGAGAACTATCCATACTGGTAATAAATCTAGAAGTGAAAGATCCAAAAATTCAAAAATAACCTAAAGCAAACAAAAAGGCTGAAGAAAAGTGGCTAAAGAAAAATGAGGAGAGGCAGGAAGGGAGAGATGGGGAGAGGAGGAGAGATCTGAAGTGGGAAGAGGCTGGAGTGTGTAGTCTGTGAGGGACAAGACAAGAAATGTGGTACTTCACATATCACTGGGTTATTTTATATTTTACATTAACTATGATCTATCTATATATATTAAATTAATACAAATAAAAGTATATTTATTAATAAATTATGGTCACCCCTTGATATCTATGGCGATAGAGTATAGGGCCTCCAAACCACGCACCCCACAACCCAAACTTCTCATTAAAATGGTATGGTACTTGTGTATAATGTACAACCTCCTCCCTTACACTTCTTTATTGCTGGATTACTTACAATATTTAGTGCAATGCGAATAATATGTAAATAGTTGTTATACAGTACTGTTTAGTGAATAAGAATAAAACATATATTTTCAGTATACATGCGAGAAATTTTTCTGAAAATTTTTGAGCCGTTCTGAAAATGCTTGATTGAATCCACAGACGCACAAGTCATGGATCTGGAGGACTGTCTCTTCACAAACTGAACATGGGTCAGGAAGGAAAACATTACCACCACTCCCAAAGTCTCTTTGATATCCACATGTACTCGCTGCTTCCCACCAAAGATAACTAGCCTGCTGACTTCTGACAGCATACATTAATACTGCCTGTTTATGCAGGATAAAACGATACCGTATGGATTTTTTTTATCTGGATTCTTTTGTTTAAACTTACATATGTGCGGTCTGTCCGTATTTTGGTGTTCCCTTGAAGATAGATTTAAAAAGTGAATGGCTTCTGCTTCTGAGCACTAGAATGCTCCAGTATTTGCTAACACAGACATATAGAACGTCCGGTGAGGTAGGAGGAAAACTAGGAGACTGTGGTGTCACCATCAAGAGAAAAGCACTTCAACAAGGGGAACGATGAACAGTGATCACATATTTTTGAGCTACTGAGCAAGAAGACCAGGTGGAGGGCGCTGAATTTGACATCGTGGAGGTTCTCGAGAGCTACTTCAAAGGACAGGGCAAGAAGCAGGAAGGGCAGATGAGACAGCTCAGTGTTTAAAGGAAAAACTGAACTGCTATCGAGAATGTAGAATCAAAAGAAGGGCTTTTAGATGGTAAATACTATAGTGTGTGAATGTGTGCTTTGATAGTTAATGGCAGAAATAATCCAGTGGTGGAGGCAAAATGAGGATACAAAGACAATCATTTTCTATTAAGCCATCCAGTCGGTGCCACTTAGTGATAGCAACCTTAGCGATCTAATATAGATGGTACCTTTGTTAATTAATGAAAAGAAAATGGAGTAGTCCCAATTTGCTTTTTTTGTCTGCAAGCCCGCTCTTGGAACAAGGTTCAGGGACCCAGACTGGGAGGGCAAGGCGCAGAATTACCAGGCAGACTCCTGGGAGATTTCTGGAACGCTTCCCCTTTATTCCGGAAATGGACAGGCTTATATAGGGTAAGAATAGGGTAAGACGGGGGTGGAGCCAGGGTGGCACTATTGGATCACTATTGGATAGGGTAAGGAGGGGGTGGAGCCAGGGTAGAGTCGGGATATTTGGCACATCCTTACTGGACACATGTTAGTTTTTGGATTGTATCCTTTAGGGGCTGAGGCAAATAGAGTCAGGACTTTAGAGGTTTTTCAGAGGAACAGTTTATCTGTCTAAGGTCAGATTTCTGCACACCCGAGGGGGTGGATTATTCCAGCCCTAATAGGCCTGGGAGTTTTTTCACGAGAGATGGGTACAGCGCTCCTGACTCAGCCAGACATTAACCTGATCCTCATGAATTGTTTCCTGGAGCTTCTATAATTAAAAATGATAATATTTGTCATTGCCTTATGCAATATCTATCATGGTGACTGCCATACAGAATGATAACCATTTTTGCTTATTTTCTCTTTATTGAAACAAAATAGAAATGTTGAAATGAAAATGCACTACACAAAAGGGAAGAATATATATGAAATATAGGAAGAAAACAATAAAAAGATAGCCCATAAAAGGAAGAAGAAATGAACATGTTGTAGGATGAAGGAAGAAAATATGTCAAAGATCCCTTACAGCAAAGAGTAATAATCAGATACGAAGGAAATAGTAAGAGATGAATCCATATCCAGTCCCCAGGGTGAGAAAGATAGTATATTAAAGTATTTTGTCATATCTTAGCTTTTACTTCCTTACCTATAGTCTACATTGTGTTATAATTGTTTTAACAATATTAATGTAAAGCTTATCATGAAACCATTCTTAACATTATGTTGACTGGTTTTTATTTCCTTTTTTTTTTTTTGCTTTCTGAGTTACCGACACATTATTGCAGCAAAACATATGTAGGGTCAATTCATGCTGAATAGTTATTAGAAACCATGATAACAAAAGTCATTACACTGCAGTTCAGTTTTGACAGTAAAATTTCTGCAACATTATCACAAATCCTCATGCATTAGTGCAATGATCCTTACTATAGTTTCATATTAGAATCAAAAGATTGCTGTAGCATGCTTGGTACAAAAAGTCAAGCAAGCCAAATTCTTCTCTGCTTCCACAGATAACACTTTTGCTCTTTTTCTATGTACATCGTGCAGATAGTACCTTTGTTTTATGTACTTTTCTCAATATCCTACGAGTATATTGCACATACCTTGCTTTAAAATGAGAAAATTTATTTTAGAATCCACACAAATTCTGGTACTGCATATTAAAGGAAATGATTTAAAATATTTTGTATCTGATACAATCTCAATAGTCTCAGCAGTATTATTCACTGAACTGTTATCTTTTTTCCAGATAAAGTGATGGCTGTGTGTATATAGTTTTTATAATCCATATTTATTCTGATGGAATAGTACCAAATTTTCAAAAGGACATTTGTCATAGTCGGTAATACTTTCAAAGAAAAACTAGCAGATACCCTTAAGCTGGCAAAGGGAAAATATTTTTAGTGCGGATCTACTCACACAATTTTATCACAGTCACTAATAACAAAGTCTTAGAAGATCAGACTGTTTAGAAAAATCGCTTATATCAAGAGATAATATGTCTGCTCATTATCCATTTGAAGCATGAAGAAGAAAATATAAATTATGAACTAATACCTACTGAGAGTGAAGGACTCTAAAAATGAAGCAATTTCTTCCTTTTTAGGTTTAGATCTGCAAGGGCTCCCAAAAGCTAGTGTGTAAAATCACTGGGTGCTGACACTATTGAGAAGAGGGGAAAATCTATTAGTTGGAGCCTCTGCGGAGGATGTAGGGCACTGGAGCTGTGCCTTGGAAGAATATAATCACCATCCCCTTGCAGTGAGCTGCTTGACTCCACCATGCTCCTGGATGTGATGTTCTCCCCCACTACAGGTCCAGAAAATAAAGCCAGTCGACCATAGACTGATACCTCTGAAATCATGAGATACAGTAAATAACAAATCTTTCCTCCTTTAAGTTGTTTATCTCAGGGTTTTTGTTTGTGTGTGTGTGTGTGTGTGTGTGTGTGTGTGTGTGTGTGAATAGGGATTGAGCCAGATGTTTTGCACTAAGCTACATTCTCAGCCCCTTTTAAATTTTTTTAAAAAAATTGAGACAAGATCTTCCCAATTTGCTAAATTGCCCAGGCTGGGCTGGAACTTGGAATCCTCCTGCCTCAGCTTTCCATTGTGCTAAGACTGTAGGCACATTCCACCACACCTTGCTTATCTCAGGTATTTTATCATAGTGATGAAAAGCTGGCTAACACAATTCTCAAGGCAGTTATTTACAATATGGAGAGTAAGAGCACATTTCCCTTGCTGTAAAATGTGTTCCCTGATAGTCCAAGAGAGATTTTATTGAGTACAAGTTCAAGTGACCATAGGGCTCACTATGTCAATAGAGAGACAAAGTAATAAGAACCCACAATAATATAAATTATCCTCATCCAATTGTGTTGATATGCTACATACTAAATGGTCTTAAATTTGGACACATATACACACACCAATATGATAATGTACCTCAACATGAAATTGTTCTCATAGCTAAAGGAGAAAAAAGCCTAAATATTTTAATCATTGCATTATTTATGTTATTGCTAATAACTTTTTCAACTGAGCAAACCTTTGTTATTATTAGCTAACATAAAGTAAGTTTTACAAGGTATTTGGATCAAGTTCATTCCTACAGTGTCTTCATTGATACGGTATAGGCCATTTCACAATAGCATGTAAATATTGAAATTGATACCAAGATTGAGTCTCATTCTCTCATTCTCACTCTCTCTTTCCCCCTTCCTACTAACCAGTCTGTGAAGTATGCTTCATAATCTCATTTATTAGCAACAAGTGCATACTGCACTTGCTATGTGCCGAAGGTATGTTGAGAGCTTTATATATTTCTAACTAGTTGTCAAAAAAACTGTTTAAAGTAGGTCCTGCCATGATTCCTCTTATAAAGAGAAGGAACCAAAGGCTCAAAGAGATAAATGAATTTCTAAAAGTCACAGCTAGTAAGCAACAGATTCACACCCAGGCAGTCTGGCTTTGTGCTACACTGTAACTAGATCTTTGTGGAGAACACAATTTGTACACGTTTTGATAACATTGCCTAGAAGAAAATGGTAGGTAAATATTAAGATTCTTGTTAATCTTTTCTTCATGGTATTTTAAATACAGTATCACTATTAGTGTAAGTGCACATTTTAATTCTTCCTCCAAAAGGTAGGTACTGTATTCTCAATGGAAAACATGCTGACCTGGTGGATGAAAAAGCTATCCTGTTGAAAGAAAAGAAAAGAAAAGAAAAAGCTATCTTGTTGTTTTAATTTACATTTCTTTGATCATTAAGGATGCTTTCCTCCCTTTCATTTATCAAGTGCTTTATATTTCTTTAAATATTCAACAAAAATAAGAAATATCAAGGCAAGATCTAATTGAAAACTTTTTCTGTTAGAGGAAATGTTGTATAAAGTAATTTTAAGTAACATTTCATGTGGTTAATATAGCAAGTCTATGCTTGTCATAGATTTTGAAAATATTTTCCATACTTTAAAATTTACACGTCTTCATTTTCAGGGTAGGAAATCTTTAGGTTATTGTTAAGGAATTATTCCTTTCCCTTGCATTGATAAAACTTTACTCATGTCAGGACCAGATAAATATTCAACTGTATTTTACATTTATAGTCATCTCTATAATGCATCGGTATTCACTGGTCTGGCAAGAGGTAGGATTTATTTGTATTTTTCAGAGATATTCAGTAGACTTTGCACCATCTTGCTTAAACATTTTGTCCCCATTTATTTGCATTTCCACATTATAACTAATAACATTTTCTGGACATAAAGACATCTTTCAGGCTTTTATTGTGATAGCACTGAACTTTTGGTGACCTTTATAATGCGTTGCCACTTATTGTAGATTTATTATTTGCTTCAGAAATAGCTAAAACAAATGCGCCCTTTTTATTTCTCCACAATTCTTTCTGTTTTCATGTTTCTCTATAGAAGTATTTTTATCATATTCCTAACAACCATTCTTTTAATTTTTTGGCAATGCTTCAATTACAATATAAAGATACTACATTCCAATACACTAAAATATTGAATGTTTTTATGGCCTTTGTTTTTATTATCTCTAACAGTTTACAGATTTATTCATGAAGATTCTGATGGCAAATTTCATATGTCATTATTTCTAGAAACTGTTTTATTGTTGTAGGTATTGAGAATGCAACTCAAAAAAACTTGTGTATTATTTTTGGGGTCAGTGGCAATGGGGATTGAACTCAGGACCTGGTGCTTGTGAGGTAGGAGGCAGCACCACTGAGGTAAGTCCCAGGCCCCACAAACGTATCTGTATTCTAACTACTGTTGGTAGTATAATATCTGGATTGTCTAGCCCCCCACCCCAACTTGTATGTCATTTCTAACTCTATATTCCTCCTGCTGGATCATTTGTACTGTGTACATACAATTTCTTTTTCTTTCTTTTTCCTTTTTGGTACGAGGGATCAAACTCAGGACCTTGTGCTTGTGAAGCACGTGGTGGAACCACTGAGCTAAATCCCCGGCCCATAAATATTTATTCTATGACACTCCATCAGATTTCCCTGGCCACGAGGTGTTTGCCATAGTTCAATTTATTTTTTCTAGTTGATTATCATAAGGTCACTATTAATATGCATTCTGTCCTCTCTACCTATAATTCATTCCATATTCTCGGGTCAACTCTTTATTAACTATTATAAACTAGAAAGCTTTGTTGTCAAGAGTGTGGCCAACCCAAGATCTGATATAAAAACTACAGAATATATATTTACAAAAAGCATAGTAATATTAACAGCTATATAGTCTATATTCAAAATATACAGTTAGTATAACATTGTTCTAGGTGCTTCATGGTTAAAATATATACTTATGCCTCATAGATGTGTTGTGGAAATTGATTATATACAAAACTCAATGTAATGTATAGTACCTAGTATGTGCTTAATAAATATTAACTCTTTCTATCTATATTTGTGAAGAAGATATTAACATTCTCTTCTCAGAAGCTCCGACGGAGTAAATACATGTCTACAGATGCTTCAGCACACCCCAGCACAAATTTGATGCTAAACAGTAAATGACTAAAGAATATATCTAGCACAAGAACATGCATTTTTAATGACTAGAAGACATAGATCTATAAATCTGGAGGAAAATAACACAAGCAGAGTTATAATTCACGTATTAGACAAATCTAAGTAGAAAATGTTCCTATTATAGGCAGTGTATACGGTGAGCATATACTTGTTTTATTATAATGGAAAAATGATTATTGAGTGATAAAAGCAATATTATTTTGTAGGTATTCTATGGTATCTTTTAAAAGGTCTATATTTGGACTATGCATGATTCAGAACAATATAATCGATTTATTGGAAAAGACTCAGGTTTTCCTAGGGCTTTATGGGTAATGAAAAGAATATTTACTTATTTTTTATTAAAGTTACATATCAGTAGAATCTCATGAATATCTGATTTGTGACAAGAAGGATTTTTCCTATTCTATGTAGAATAACATTTTCCAAGACTTGTTCTAATAAATATTAAATCAATCCATTGAAAATAAATTTATTAGAAATAAAAGAGTCCAGGGACCATAGAAGATTCAAAGTTAACAGAGTACAAGATTACTTCAAGTGAGATTTCTCAGAATTTTTAATATGAGAATATAGTTTAAATCTTTAAGAAGAGGATATATTATATGGTGCTTTGTATCTCTCTCT